AGAGCGCGGTCCTGCAGTGAAACACCCATGGCGAATGCGTCTGAGTCGCGAAATGAGGAAACAGCCTGGTACCTGGCGGCTTTATAACACTGAAATTTAACTAACATTTTAATTTACGTCTTCTTCCGCTTGCAGCGCCATCTGTTGGTAACTTTTGAAACTAAATTTTTTCTTCTGCCATACGCTTTCCGCCTTCTTCAATAACATTCCTTTCAAATTTGACGTCATTTTCATGAATGGTTCTTTTTTTATAGCGTTTTGAAACTTAAACTTTAATTATAATCACCCTGTACTTTAATACCTCATTCAATTTGCGTTTAGCAATACTATTCTTGCAGATTGTTTCGGCCCATTGTGGCCAAAATAAATCACTTGGTCTCCTCGGGTGATAATGTTTGGTGGATGCACAATGGAAGAGATAGTGATCTGGATCACCTACCTCTCCACATTCACAGAATTCTGTTCCGCTTAAGTGGAACCTCTTTAAATAGGTAGGGAATGGTCCATGTACAGAAAAAAGTGGGTCTGTGCACCGTTCGTGACTTTTGCTACAGTTCCCACTTTTGGAAAAAAAAGAGTAGGTCCTTCTACCCGTGGGTGCTGAGTCCCACCTTTCCTGCCACTGGCATAATAAATTTTCAAGAGTACTTCTCTTGAGATAAGAGGTTGGGAGTTTCACAGGATATTCTCTCAGGCTTTTATCATTTGCTGCCGATTTGGCAAGCTCATCTGCCTTTTCATTGCCTGTGATGCCCACAATATAGGACTGCTATAACATGTAGATGTGCACCTCTATTTTGGTTGCAATCGGCCGCACCAAACGTATATAAATATATTTATATATATATCCACTCTGTTAGCCGGCTCAGTAATCTCAGTTTCTTTACTCTATATGTTTGCAAATTGTACATTTTTTGCTTTAAAAAATGATTAAAATTATGTAGTTTTTATCTTCCGGTTAAGGATTTTATGCCTTTAGTAAATCTGTGTGCCAATATTTTAAGAATTATCAGCAATTTTAAAGTTGTTTTAATTGCCCCTAAGCCTAATTATTTTTGCCTAATGGCAGCCATTGATGTTTTACATTTGAAAAAACAGGAGACTAGTGATTTGTTGCCAATCTAGAGAAACTTAAGCTTCGCAACAACAAAGATAACGCACATTCATTTATTATTGCCAATTAAATCACATGCTTAATTCTTTCTGGAATTTTTTCGAGGAAAATAAGTGTTTTAAGATTTACTTTTTCGTAATTTTTAAATACGTAGATATTTTGAGTTTTTATTGTATTTTTACCTTCTCGCGAGAGTGAGAACCGAATTAATTAAATTGAGAAATACTCAATCGTCTGTGAAAAACTGTTTCTTTTTTGTTTTGTTTGCTTAATTTATTTTATACATCATTCTAGCTTTATTATAGTATTTGAATAGAACATGTGGCAACGATTAGATAATTCTATTCTTTAAATGATATAAATTTTGTGCATTATGAGTTATAATATGAACGAAATATAATACTGTTAAGTAAGTCTAGCGCCAGAGTGTCGCTATGGTAAACAAAGTGAATTTTAAAGAATGCATTTATTCTATAGTGGTTTATGCGCTGTCGGCGAAATAGGTTTAATATCAATCTAATAAGTTTAAATGAAATGCAAGAAAAATTGCGTATAATTTAATATTCCGTACAAGGAAGTCATGTGGCGTACACATCAGATTTTTTTCTAATCCACTACGGTTGCAACATTTACCCTTCATGGTCTATATAAACAAAATATTTAATCGATTTAAATATCAAACTGTAAGGTAAAGATCAGATTATTACGAGCAACTGTGACCAAGTTAAATCATTCAAATATATGCTATTTCTTTGGAAACTGAAAAAGGAAGATATGACGCACTTTCCGACATGCAACATGAATAAATCAAGTGTAGTGAAACTACATCGTATCAAAAATACCCGGAGAAAAAATTCATTTTTAGAACATATAGTTTGAAACAAGGTTTTCAAATTTTAAATCTTTGGAATACAAGTTTTCATTGTTTTCCTTAGCTATAGAATTTAGAATCAGTACCCAATCATATGAAAATGGAAGTAATCGAGATCTAGTGCGATTCAGATTTGAAGGTAAAAATCAGAGAAGCTGGAATGCCTGAATTTTACAAATATTTGCCTTAAAAATTTCGCATATGATATTATTTCCATGCTTGGTAATTTATCGGTGCGAGAGTTTTTTACGCTTACGAAAGAAAGCAAATCTTCTATCAGATCCATAGTTACTGGCATTCACCTTGGGTCAGTTTTGAAGTAATCCCTGCGAACAAGATTTTCTCCGAAGTAGGAAGGTAGCAGAGAACAGATATCAAGTGACAGAAAGAAGATACTAATTTTTACAACTGTGCATCTTCTATTTTATTTTCAAAATAAATCTATATTTCTATTAAAAACTGAATTTTTTTCCCGGCCCACATAATTTCAGACCTTGTTAAACTGGCCCGTGTTAGCTTTCGAGTTTGACATGCTAGCTCTTAAGTACATTTTCCTTAAATCCGTACAATAGATTGAAGATTTCGATGAGTGTTTTTATTAAAATAGAAGTTCAAACTCTTTAAGACAAACATGGATTTGTTTATAAGTATTTAAAGAGAAATTATGATATTTATCGTTAAAATTTAAAAAAAAAATTATAATTTCAAAATTGTAATTTTTGAGTTTGTATTTTAAAATAATTAGTAGACGGGAAAAAACTTAATAATTTTTTTTTTTTTTTAATTTGGAAAATTGAAGCTTAGAATTCAAGAAAATTTTGTCAGCTTCAAATAAGTTTTGGAACAGATTCCTTTTTTCCAAGAAGCTAAAATGATCTACATAAGATTTCCAGTAAAATGCGTAAAACCATTCTGTATAGCACCAGCCTCAAGCTGAAGATAATTTTTTTCAAATTCTGTAAACTTAAAACAAATTGTTTTGCATTTCTATAGGTGCTTCTTAACTATGAAATCAAAATACGTAAGCGTTATTTTATTTTGTCTCTTGAAGAACAAAGTTTATATGTGCATACATAAAAAATTAATTTAGAATTAGTATACGTGTTATTCAAGTAATTTGTATTTATATATTACTAATTCTTTGCTGAAATTTTACAAGGATTTTTGAATACAATATTGACTGTGTAAATCCTCCTTAACGCGACCTCCAATCGTCCTAGACAATTCTGGTATTCTGGAGGTTGTTGCGATAAAGAAATTATGCTTTTTTATGTTCTTAGAAAAAATGGTCAATTCTAGAAATGATCTTCTTAAGAAGGTGGTCTTTTTGATAAAGTTCGCTGTATTTGCAAGAATGTTTGGTTATAATGTATTTTGGCTTAGGTGTACTTATGATAATATTTTAGTAAATCATTTAGTAATAGAGGTTAAATTATAAAATCTGTTTAGAATATAGTAACTTTTATTAGGGGTGCAATATTCAACCGCCTTCAGTACATCTATAAAGTTATTCTACTAGAACTGAGAAAATATGATTAAATGCTACTAAGTTTTGCAGAGTCTCAGGTAACTTTAAACACTTAAAATATTAAAAAAATAAAACAAAAAATACGACATAGAAAGCACATAAATGTAGAATTTCACGACAACCAGTCCCGAGTTAGTAAGACTGCCGAATACCGTATATAAACTGCTTTATGAAAATGGAAGTAGCAGAAAACTACACAAGAGTTATTAAATCTTTGAAATTTTACAATGCGTCAACTTGACGCTAACAAACTTCACCTCTGTTGGGCGGTAACTGAAAATTCAAGTAACTAAACTCAAAATTTGAAGATATTAACAAACGATAAAACTAGACTACAGAGCTTAGCGAGATACTTTAACTTAAACCCCCTTCGAAGCTAGTGGTTGCAAATAAATGCAATTAAGCCACTTAACCAGCAAGAAGCAAAGTTACCTACTGCAGAGACGGCGTCTAGAGCCCAACTCTCCCTTTCTCCTACAGAAAATCGGCTTTTAAGTACTTTCTACGAGTATAAAGTATATTCTCGTACAAAGTAGAAATTTGCATTCTTTTACGCGCGCTATTCTGGCACTGACAATTAGGAGAATGAAAGGCTTATAGAAAAGTTTAAACTTAAACTTTAAATTGTTAGTTAAAATAAATATAAATACCTACTCAGTCTGGGTTTAGATTCCCCAAGATGATCTGATCTGCATGCCTGTGGATGTTTTTGCGAACAAGAAACACGGATTACACTTGTTCGTGTAACATAAATACAAGACAGTTTCCCTTAGAAAACCCTCCACGAAGTCAGCCCCTTTCTCAGGCAGATAGCCTTCGCATGCCGTGGCATATAATAAGTTAAACAGACAAGCATTCAAATCTCGAATGAAATGCTAATTGAAAATTTCAAAATGCCTTTTTCCCCCCTTTCTGATAAATGGTTTAAATGGTTTTATTATAAAGGTAATCATCTATTACTTCATACAATATTCGCACAAACAGCTTTCAACCCATAAAATCTCATTAGTGTTATATTAATTGATAATTTTCAATCAACAAGGGTAAACCAGAATTAAAAGAACAACGAGTTTAAAGTTTATTTCTACTTTGCGTTTATGCCTTCAGCGTAGGCTATATTTTCTCATAAAAAAATTTTTTTTTTAACTATTTTGTATGCCAATTTTAAGAAAATGTGTAGCAACACCCAACCCAAGCTGCAAGCCTTGGAATCTACCAGCTTTAATTGCAAACGATCTCGAGTGAGAATACCTCTAACTATTTCAGTAGAAAAATATATAATATTGTTGTGATATTTGTGAACAGTGAAATTTTGTGTTTTTATAGCATAGAGCGAATGAATATAGCTAGTTAAAATACAGCCTGTTAAAAATAAAAAGCATATTATTACAGTGAAATTATAGCATTTAATTATTTATTTAGAAGAAAAAAATTACAGTGAAAGAACAACAAGCATATTTATTTGCTATTACAATTTTCATTTTCAGGTACAAGAACAGTCGTCGAATTTTAGAAAATTCCGACTCCAATGTCATAATTTCTGGCCTGAATCTGATCATTCAGGATGCTCAAGAGGATGACGCTGGGGAATATATGTGTACTGTAGACACTCCTTATGTCACAGGATATATGGATATAGGAAGAATATTCCGATTAAACGGTAAGTTTCTGTTGCAAGCATATACTGGGCAACATTTTAACAGCCATAAAATTATAAAAAAATTAAATAACTAAAGCTAAAATTCAGAAATTTAATTCAAAATATAAAATTTTTTCTCTATATACAATTCTAAAAATGAACTTTTTTTTTTTTCTTTTCCCCCTGTGGGGGGAAGATGGCCAACTTACTGACAAAATAGCTCTGTCATCGAATTTGTATTTAGTTTCAATCAATGGAACGATATTGATGAGTCAGCTTATCAAGAGGCAATAAGTATATATGTTACTATTACAAATGATAAAACAAGTTGATTAGTCCATGATTTGTCATCAATAATAATCTAACACCATAGATTAATGAGTCGCCAAACAGAGATAGTGGTTAACGACGCTAACTGCCGTACCGAAGGGCTCGGTTTCGAATCCTGGAGATGTGTCTGTGTGTATGTATGGTAAAGTGTGTATAGTGTATAGTGTCTGTGGGGCATGGGAACACTCTAAATATGCGGCGAGCTGAAAGTCCTCTCGAGAGGCTTGTGGTAGGGGAAGAGGGGTGGGAGACCTTTGGACCCATCTTTCCCATCATTCCTCAAAATTGCGGGCAGAACTGAGCAAAGTCGTACTGTCGTCTGCATGATGCTCAAAGCTCTTGCCAGCAACAGGCGAAATCTGGTACTCCATGCTACGATGAATTTCGTGGACTTGTGCTGATGTTACTGTCACAACAGCAACGTAAATGAATGAATAAATGATAATTTATGGTAATTATTCTTATTTTTTACGTTTAAGACCAAAACGTGTTGGTCTCTGTATCTGTTTTCTCCGCGACGTTTTAGTTCGCAATGTTTTTGCCGCAATGTTTTCGGCTGTAACCACTGTGGGAACTGTAACCACTGTGCGCTATGTGAAATAAAGGGTAAAGTTAACCCTTCTTAACTTGTTTGTCTACTCATTGTACATACGAACGTAGCTTGAGTAAGCTCCCTGTTCCCACTCAGGATTCCTGGTGATGTTTCCATAATCAGTTATAAGGAGACTTTACGCGTAAAGTCTCCTTATAACTCCTGACAACTTTACTGCGTAAAATAGCTGTATATAAAACAGCCATTTTTACAAATATCCGGCGTTCTTTCGTTATTATCAAATATATTAATAAATTATTTGCCTTTCTGTTAGAAATACATTCATATCTCTACATGAAGAAAAACAGTTTCAGAAATTTGCTTGATTTATAAGATTTTAATCTTACAAGATTTGCTGTTTTGAAATACGAGCTTTTTCTCCTCCCCCTCAACATAATAACTCTTTTAAACAAGGACGGATATGTTAAGGGCATTAATATTCAAATGATCTACTATTTCAAGCATGTGTGACAATTCACACAGTTTTTTCAAAATATCGCAATTTATTTAAAATACTTTAAAGCGAAGAAAGAAAGAGAAATGAAAGCTGGTGGCCGAACAATGAATGTAATCATAGTAATCTGTATAAAATTTTCCTTCGTCGTCAGTTTTGATGGTTTTGATGTAATTCAAGGAATGAATCAGCTGCTTGAGAAAGCGTGATCTACAAATTATGTCAGCTGTCACTCTATTATTAGAACACCTTTTGAACCACAAGCGATTGCTGTAAAAATATACGTCAGTGAAGTTTTAACTTCTGCTTCGAAAATGACGCTTGTCATCATTTTTAGTTCTAAATCGAAAAAAAGCATCTTTGATTCTCAAATGCATTTTGAGAGCTTTGTGTTATATTTGTTCTCTCTATTTAGATGGGTTTTCGAATTTTACTTTCATGACGCGTTTTCTGATTTTCTTTGCACTTATTACAACACGTAACATTATTTTACTGAAATTTCCATTGAAGTCTTAACCAAGTGGGAAGTTTTCTATAGACCATCCTTACATTTGGGGTGCAAAAACACTCTGTTGAAAAAAAAAAAAAAAAAAAAAAAAAAAAAAAAAAAAAAAAAATGCTCCAAGAGAGAACTGAGCCATAACTACTCAGCACTAGTATAGTGTTCGAGTAGATAAACAAATGACCAAAAACTGGGGAGAAAAAAGCGTTTTATTTATGAGTAGCAATACAAAGAATTAGTAGGTGGCAAAGGACCCTTGGCAGCTATACAAGCCGATACGCGGCTGGGCATGGAGACTATTAAGTTGCCAATGTTCCTGAGGTAGATTATGCCACGAATAGAGCAACTGGTCGGTGTGTTGGAACGTATTTGTATACGGCTAAAATTAGCGGCCCAGTATGTCCTAAATATTTCGATAGGCAAGGTCTAGAATTGTTACAATATTAGTTACATATTCCAAACATGTTCGTTAGGCGAGGTCTGGAAACCTAGCAGGCCAGTCGAGGACATTAACGTGTCGAAGGCATTGTTGTGAAAATTGTGCTCTATATGGCCGAGCGTTTCCCTGCTAGAAAACAAAACCTGGATGACCTGCTAGAGGGTCAGTACAATCGGCTGCAAATTGTTGTCAACGTACTTGCGAGCAGTTAAAGTATCTCGCAACATGACAAATGGTGAAGGGCTGTCCTAGTTAATCGCTCCCCAGACTGTCACAAACACCCTGTAAGATAGGCTAGACTGTCACACCCTCTACACTCAATAACAAATGGTAAATTGGACCACTCACCTCTCCGTCTCCAGACACGTCTGCGGCGGTCGTCAGCACAGAGAGAAAAGCATGATTCGTTGCTGAAGATCCCATTTCTCCAACAGGACACTGTCCAGCTTGAGCGAGAGCGGCACCATGCACGACGACGCTGTTTATGGTGGAGTGTCAGAGGTCTAGATCTGAGGCCAGCGTCACCTAGTTTTCTGCGAATCGTGTCTTCTGCAATCTTCTGGGTATCCTGGCATCCCTGGGATTCGGCAAATGGCATTGAATCGACGATAGCGTAATTGTTGGTGCGGACGGGGCATCTATTCTAATTGTGCGAACAAATCTTGAGCATTAGTGGCCCCAGGATATTCCGAGCCACTAATGGCGGCTGACTACGACTTTGCTAAGCCACTGGTTACAGCAAAGGACAAGGACCATATTGCATTGATCAATATGCCTGCCATTTCGCCTGTTCGACCGAACGGCCTCTATTAGCCTTATGATGCGCGCTGTCTCAAAGTCTGAGAACTGCTAGTAACGCCATTGAGTACGTTTTAAAGGCATCTTCTGTTACAATGTCGTGTATTCAAGCCGTCAGCGCGATTGTAAATGCTCATCACTCGTCGCACATGCCCTTCTACGTTCTACCAGCTGCGTAATTCAGAAGCGCGTCGTATCGCTCCACACTTCTGGTGTTGCAAGTTTAACCATTTACACAGCTCCACCAGACCGTATTTGCATGCCACGTTTCGAAATTGTGGATCAATTTTTTCTGGGTGAATATAATTTTTTGCAGGCCAAGTTATAATGTCATCAGAAAAACACGAGGCTTTTCAGCGTTTATCGGGAACCACTACAAAATCTAAGTATCGATTGAATTTTAACTCAGGATTTAAAGCAAAGGGGTAAGAAAACACAGAATTACCGAAGCCATCTTCTCGTAGTTAATGTCAAGTTTAGTCAGCTTCACGTCAATAGGAACCGCATTGTAAAATTCAAGAACATTCTAGAGCTGCGACTATATTCTTATATCTAGTTGCAACTATTTAATTATTGCTTTAAAATGTAGAAAAATTAAATTGGAATATAAATAAACATTTAAATAAAGTAACAGGAAAACATTCTTGACATAGTGAATTTCTTTTTAACTAGAAAAGAAACATTTTAGTTTTCCTGTCTTTCTATTGATTATAATTTTCAAATGACTTTTATCGTGTAATTTTACACCAAAAAAAGATTTTGGGGTCTTTTCAATAATATAAACTCTTTATTCGGGGAACAACTAACGCAGTAATTTGAAACATAGAACTAACGATTTTCTTTAGTTTTAATTCAAGAGAAAACAGCTCGCGCTTTCGAAGACATTGTACTTATACGAGATACAAAATTGTTTTGTAAGTAATTTATTAAGTTATGAGGATTTTTGCTTAAAAATTACAGCTTAGCTTTTCCACTCAGTAAAAGGCACGGACATCCTATGACAATGATTCTTAACCTGGGGTGCGTGCTCCTTTGGAGACGCGAGAAAACATTTTCAGATGTGTGACAGAAATTTCTAAATTTTTCATTCAAATTATTTATTGTCTGACTACCTTCAGAAGTAACAAATGCTACGTAGAAATTTGGGACGAAATTGACGATAAAATTTGGACCCAGAAGAATTTTCCGAGAGTCTCCCAATGGGCATCCTAAAATAAGAGTACGAAGAAACATACAAATAAATAAGTAAAACAGTTAAAATATTCACAAAAAGAGAAACATGAAATGATGTCGCTGTAAATCTATTGTATGAAAACGAGGGAAATAGCAAATCAGAAAATGCAGAACCAAAATCTACATGCCTCCTTCATTGATGAAAACCGATGAGCCGAATCACGCTCTTTTTTCTATGATTGTTGTTGCAGCCTTATGCTATCCGAATAATATGTGTTAGAAATTCTGGAGAGCAGCTCATATATTTTGCGTTATGCGATTTTTTCCTCTTTCGTTTGGAGAAATTTAAATATTTTGTTTTCTTTGTGCTTTGGATCTCGTTCTAATGTTCTAATCAAGCAAAATTTATCCGATGATGATTACGTAAAAGTTGTAGAGACATTAGGTATCTTTTGGAAGCAGGCAAGATGAAAAATTAGCAAACGACTTCGCCGGGAATCGAACCACTGACCTCTGGAATACCGGCCCAGCGTGCAGTATTGCCACTGCTCGCGTAATGAATCGTTGAGTTTTTTAATTAAAAATTCGTGAACGCTGTACAAAATATGAAGCAGATAATAAATTCTAAATTCAAAATTCGGGTTTCCAAGTGTCTATATTCGGGTGGAGGAATACGTTGTGCAGAATTTGATGGCTCTACGTATGGTACGTATGTTTTCTCACAATGCGAGAA